CTTTCATGCTTACCTCTGTTAATGATACGTGGAAAATTCCAGTGGGTTAATTGTTAAATTGAATCTATTACCGCTAAGGACAAAGACACTTTATTGCAGCAATGCTTAAAATTATTAAAAGGATGTGGAGTTCAGGTTGTGTCAGTGACCTTTGACGGAGCGACAACAAATAAAGCAATTAATAATAATTACCTTGGTTGTGACATTTCTTCTATGTCCTACCGTTTTAACTGTGATGGGTGTGATATTTGTATTTAGTCGGACCCCTGCCTTAACATTAAATTAGTTAGAAATACATTTGGGGGTAAAAAGAGGATGATAGACATTCATGGTAGAAATATTGATTGGCATTATATAAATTTACTTAACCAAATTCAGTATAAAGAAGGTCTTTATTTGGCTAATAAATTAAAAAATGAACACATCATTTTGTAAAACAAAAAATGAAAGTCCGACTAGCTACGCAATTAATGGTAAGTATCCGGTTGACCGAGCTTTGCTCGGTATTTTTCGCTCGGTTTTTTTAATTCGTGAGTTTTGGAAAATATATTTAGATACAAATTACATACTGATCAAATATAAATAATATTTTTTGATATTAGCGACATAACAGAAAAAACGGAACTGGTTATTTGAATAAAAATCATGAGTGCAATTATTTTAATTTTAATTCTCGTGTAAATACTAAAAAAAAAGGGCTCGAAAAAATAGGTTTTCTCAAAAAAGAAAGGAACTTGAAAAAAAAATTTAAAAAAGGCGGTCAGTTGCTCTGGGCTCGAACCAGGGTTTTGCGATTCTGTGACCGCCCATTACACCAATTAAGCTATTTATAATCATTAACAAACTGTCAAAATTTACCTTCTTATTCTAACAATATTGTAGCAGTTTTCATTGCCTAAAAACACGGAAAAAGACATTTTCTAAAAATAAATCCTAGCTAGATCGATTTATTGCCCCCGAAACTCCCTGCACACAAAATTTTATGAAAATCGTTGGAGCCGTTTCCGAGATTCCGATTACATATATGGGGGGGGTATATGTGAAATGAGTGAGGAGGGGGGGGGATTGGGCGGTTTGGGGATATATATATATATATATATATATATATATATATATATATATATATATATCAAGAATTGCTTGTTTAAAGGTATAGGATTTTATACTATCGCGGTCCCTTCGTTTTTGGGCTCTAGAAAATCGAAATATCACCCAATTTCGATGATTTTTTTTAAATCTCCGTTTTTCCATTTCGAAATTACAGGAATAAAAAAATTAAATCTTAGGTGTCAGGGCTTTAAATGTTCATGAAAATGAACTCATTCACGTATAATTGTTGATAACTTTTTTACAAATAATCGAATGAAGTTGTTATGTTTTTTTTTTCATTATCTACACAAAAAAACGAACATTTAAAAAAATATATTGAAAAATGTTTGCTTATTAATTTTTTATTTTGCTGTTTTATTGAGTGTAAGATCGAGCGAAGCGAGCTCGGGACTTAGGGCATCCCGACTCGGACAGATTAGGTTAGAAAGAGATGGCGGGTCGAATTAGCGAGCGAATAGACCCTGCCATCTCCTTCTAAAGTCGAAGAGGTCGGTTCTATAGTAGAAGAGGAATGAGGCAGTCGACTAAGGGCATCGGCAATCACATTAATTTTTCCGAGTGTATACTTTATATTTAGATTATACGCTTGGATCTTCATAGCCCATCGTACGAGACGACCGTTGGGTATTTTAAGAGACATCAGCCGTCGCAGTGGTTGATGATCAGAGATGATCCGAATCTGCAAACCATCCACACAACCCCTGAATTTATTAAGAGCCCAGACCACCGCTTGAGCCTCACGTTCTGTGATGGTATATTCGCGCTCAGCTGCAGTTAACAACTTACTAGCGTACTCGATCGGGCCTTCGTCTTTGACTTCTTCACCTTGCATTAACACAGAACCCAATGCGTAGGTGCTAGCGTCAATACGAATACCGAATGGAACTTTAAAATCCGGCTGGCGAAGAATAGGGGCAGAAGTGAGTTTATCTTTGAGAGTAGCAAACGCCTGAGTCTGTTCTTCTTTCTATTTTTCATTCTTACACCCAATAAAACACCAAAATATTAACTCTTAAAAATATTTCGATTTTCTAGAGCGTTTATGATAACATTTAAAGTCAGAAACCTATATAAAAATTTTATGTGAGATGAAAAATTAATAAACAAACAATTTCAATGTTTTTTTAAATGTTCGTGTTTTGTGTAGATTAACAAAAAATATATAAACTTCGTTTATTGCTTTGCAAAATAGTTATGAACGATTATATTCGAAGAAGTGCGTTTGTGATCACATTTAAACTCATAAAACTATGTGAAATGTTCAGGTAAGATATTTTCCATAATTTTTTTCATAAATCCACCATAAAACGAGTATTTAAAAAAATTCATCGAACAACATTTAATATAGCAGAAATCAAATAATTTTTTGAAGTAACCGTTCTATATATACAAAATTTAAAGTTCCCTAATAATACTTTTGTTATTAATTCAAACAGGGCTACAGGATTTATTGGAAACACATTTAATCGAAAAAGAAAATAGCATTTTAAAATATCTTTGTACACATAAGCTGACGACCACATTGAAATTTTTTTAGTGAAATTCGTTCTCAATGTGGGTTTAATAATAATCCATCCATAGGATGTATCCTACCGCTTTTAAAAAAATACTTTTGCATGCAGACTTTAAGCCCAGTAGCAGCGAAAATTGTTTGCCCTTTGAAGACATAAAAATTTTAAATTATAAAGCAAATAAATTTTTTAAAACATTGAACGAAAGCTCTCCTAGTTGGCTTTACTTGAAAATTCAAGTAGAAGTAGCACGGTGTTGTTGAACTTTAATAAACATGATTATATTGCCGATCCATATACACTTTCAGAATACGCATATGATGTTGTTAATTACATTGCAGGATTTGTGGTCCGAACTTAAAAAAATAATTGTTTGTGAAACATGCATACGAAGTATTGAAAGTCACAGTTCTGATTATTTTTTGATTATTTTGATTTTGCAGAAAACCATAGAACTTTACTCATAAAGTCAATCATCCAATGTTATTTAAATATTCGTATTCATCATATAACAAAAAAAAATTAATTTTACTAAGGAATAGTTAAGAACTTTCTTAACAAAAACGATTATATTTAAAGGACAGACATATAATTTTTATGTGGCATATTAAATCATTTTTAAATAATTTTTGGCAATGTTGCTGACCTGATTTCGCTTAGCAAATTATCTTTATATAATATATGGAACAATTGGGGTCGTATTTGCACAATATATTTTTTGTTGAGGCGATGGTTTATAACGGTGCTAGAACGATAGGCTGCAGTCCAGATATTAAAGAATTCAAATTCTTAATGATCTAAATATTTAAAAGCCAAAACTACTCGAATTCACAATTCTAATCGGTGTAATACCAAAAAATAAAAATTACAAAACCTGGACCTGATAGGTGTGGTCGAGTAATTAATAGCTTTAGAGAGCTTTCCAGAAAATGACATGACTAATCGTTCGACCAACAGTGCCATCTAGTATCGAACAGAAGAATTAAGCTTTCTGGAAGCCCCACACCCGAACTTTCTGCTCCTGGTCGGTTGGCGCGCGTATTTACTTGAATATTCTGGACGTTTCGGTGAAAATGTGTATTTAAAGGCGCTGCAAGACGCGGTCGGGGCAGTATTGAATTTGGCGAGACAAGCGAAGCTTCGGAGCGAAATAAAGTAAATCAGTGTGGTTAATTATTAGTGTTTTAAGTTTTAATTGGTGTTAGGCAATAAAAGTGTAAGTTTTGGTAATTCAATCGGCAGTTTTTATTGTCACGAACCTCAAGCTCGTAACAATATATTTATACAAAAGTAAGGTTGACACCAATAGTGGAACAAGCAAACTAAAACTAGGATGAAGATTTTGTGTGTGTACTAGTAGTATTTATAGATAGATCAATTTTATAATATGTTAATGAAAAATAAAATAAAATTTTAAATTAATTAATTGTATCAGTGCCATAGGCTTCTTATAAAAAAACGTAAAAAACGTCAACAACCGAAGAGAGAGAGAGAGAGAGAGAATGAACTATTTCTCTCTACGGTCTACAACCTTGTAAAGGAGAAATGGTGACATTCACATAGCCATCTTTTTTATCCCTTTTATCGTGAACTTGGCCGTAGACGAATTGTCGCTCCTGTTTTGTCGCTTAAGTGGATTTTGATTCGTAAAAGTTATGCAACTTTGTGAATTAAGTGTCCACGCGTGTAAACTATTAGAGAAAACGACGAAAAAAGTGCTTTGATGCCGATATAAATCTCAAGTTATTTTGATCGCTTGGGCGCCTCATGAACTTGAATGGCTGTCGTCATCAAGTATCCGCTGGGTTGAGCTGTCGCCAAAATCTGCCAAGAGCTTTGCAATGTGACGAATCAGCATATTGTGAAGAAAAAGAATATAAAAATGAAGTTTATAGAAACGAAAGAAGAGAACTTTATAATGTAATGTGTTTAAGTATACATAATGTAATTTTTTTGGTGATGAATTAACGGAGCGACATATTCATATTGTGAATAGGCTCATTAATAAAGAATTTAAAAAAAGAAACGATAGCATCAGAAGGGCTAGAACCCAGAGACGTAAAGCCAGCCAAAAAAACGGACAAATGGTAATCACAGGCTAGTCGACAGCTTAGTTCCATTCTACGCAACTTGGCGCTACCGTCGCAATTTGTCCTCTGCTTAGAGCATACATTACATACATGTAATGTATGCTCTAAGGTCCTCTGTCTACGGACGCCATTTTGAGACGCCATATTGTGTTAATGTCAAAATCAAATCCTATTGTCAAAAATCAAAATTATCGATATTGATTGCCGCCATTATTTATCCAAATTTTCCTCAATTATTACAATATTCTGTTTTTGTGCTGCTCGTGTGAACATTGCATATACCATCATAATGGTATACGAAAAGTGTTGTATTGGTGGTTGCAATACAACACGTGAAACGCACCGGCTTTTTAGATTCCATAGGAACGATAATTTGTGGATGTCTTTCATAGTGCCGACAAATCCCCAGCTCATTGTACTTTCCAAAGAACAGTTACTTAACAAACGTTTCTGTGAAAAACATTTTGATATATTTCAGTTCGACAATGAAGGCAGAAGACTTCGATACTCTTACCCGTCCTTGCTTACTGACAATGAAATAGCTCATGGTGTGCCTTCTGACTGCAACAGGTGAATCATTTTATTACTTTCAACCATGGTACTTAAAGGAGACGGACACGTCTCTATACATTCTTGGGCCCAAGTATTAACAAGATAAAAGTACGACCATTTGTAAGCATATACTATATAGACAATTCATAGCTGAAAATCTCGCAAGATTTGTCAATGTAGGAACTGAGTTATTGTAGAATAAGTAAAAGTAAGATTATCTATTGGCTGCACTGTAACAGGTGATTTTTCACTATAATTACTTAAATATATAAATGCAGGGTCAGTAAAAAATCACCAAAAAAGCTGTGGTTAATAATGAAATAATATGGTGAAACGATTAATGAAAGTTAAAACAACAACAACTAAGTGAAGTGAATATTAGGAATTCTGATCTTATAGATCTGCCAACTTGGAAAAATTACGAATTGATTTAACTCGAGTTGAAATTCACGCAACTCGAGTTAGCAGTATGAATCAGAGTAAATGATTTGTTACAAATTACTTTTTTATAAATTTGTTATTCTATCTAGCTCTTTGGTGGGTTGAGATAATTATAATTACCTTTTTATACCTATTAAAACTTATTATATAGGATTGATATAAAAAGGTATATTTAGTATATTTTTGGTTTAATCTTAGTTATCGTAAGTACTTGTATTTAACAACAAAACTAGGTATATAGCAGTCTTCATGAAATAATATTAGTTTAGCTTTAAGATGTAGGTACATAAGCTATTAATAGTTTAATTACAAAAGGTTGAAGTCAAAATATTCTTAAATAAGTTCAATATATTTATAGAGTTGAGTGTTACATTTGGCATTAATTTACAGTATGATTACACTATATTGATCATAATTAATCAAAATTATAAAGGGAATTAAATTACACAACTAGCTATAATAAAATTCTAAATAACAAATTGTTTATACCAGTAATATACCTGCAGCATGGCTCTACCACATACAATTGCCATATAACTTAGTTATATGATATATAGATCACTTTTAATTACGATTATAATAAACTATTGTTAACAGTAGCCATACAGCATTAATACATACAATACAGAAGTATAACATTATATATTTATTCTTTAATTTTGGGTTTATGTATAAGAACATAAAATTCACAAATATTATTTGTTTTCAGGAATAGAAATCTAATGCTGATGTGGTGAGACAAATGTTGCCAGAAGATAACAAAATGTACACATTGGCATAAGGGTATGATAAATTCAGTTTATTCTTAGACATAATTAGGTAAGATAAGATAACATATCCATTATATCTATATTCAGCATATCTATCCTCAAATCACGATAAGAGTTCTTTGTTCTTCATCTAATCTAAAGATTACAGTTCCACTACACTTCAATGGTTTTATCAACAACTCTTTTAGTATTAAGGTTACACTTATTTGGAACTCCCTGCCTGAGGACATTGAGAAAGCTCTTATTTACTGCATCTACTACTTTATTTCACCACACCATGGGTTGACTGATAAAAAATGCCAACTGCCATGAAGCCACCCTTTGTTACCTTAATGTAAATAATATATAGTTTATGATTATCATTAAGTCATAAAATATGAATATTGGACTTTATTTTTAGTTATTTCTTTTCAGGTTACGTGGTGTAGAAAATAAAATTAAAGAAGAGATGTTTTTTTAATTTTTGTAAAAAAATGGCCAGGTGTACCCCAGATGAAAAATAAATAGCATTGCTTATAATAAAAAATAACTTGAAAAGTAAAATATTAAGTACTTAATGATTCCTGTGGTTTAATTTGCTTTATTTAATGAATTATAAATATTGCTCTGTTTCTCGTCAAATTGTACTTTGTATTTATGTAAAATGTTATGCACAATTTTCTAATTTGTTTATATAATGTGCCTTTAATTTAATCCTAAGATTACGTTTGTATGTATATGATGTTGGTGTGCTTCAATAAAAAATAAATAAGTTAGATTTGTTATAATTGTTTCATTAAGTATTATTATTCATGTATAATGCACTTATGTCGATATCGATAAAATAAGAACACCACTAAATATCGATAATTTGAAGGATATGTGCTTGCAATCCCTAAGCTATACTAAATTCTATAGTCATTACTCATCTGTCAAATTGGGCGACTGCAGCGCCAAAAGGCGTAATTGGGAAACTTGACTAAAAGTCACTGTCGTATCTGTCGATTCACTCTTAAAAAATCGATCTCTGAATCGATTCGAATCGATCGAGTACATCGAGGATTAAAAGATCGGTTTTCGATTAATCGCGACATTTTCAAACATTGTTTCCAGAATTTTCGATTTTTTTTTAAATTGAACTTTTTAATTACATTCACCCTATATTTTAAATACTTTCTGAAAAAATTATTTTATTAACAATGCTAATATTACCTTTTACCGCTCCAGGTAAGCTGAAAATGCTTGTGTTAGGAGTGGTTCACGACTATAGTTGAATGTTGGATTCGAACCCATGACCTTCAAGTTCACACTTCTTACCCTACAATTCGGATACTGTCACTTCAATTCAATTCTAAGATACTTTTTGTCCTGAAGAAAGGAACTATGTAAAATTACAAGCTGTGGGGCATTCCATCTTAGTTGAGAACGTATATGTAGCCACCTTTTTTTGATGTAGTTAAAATTCACATCAGGCTAGTCTGGTTTCAGACATTTGCTTTGCCTGCTTTAATTGGCGAATCATCGAAACTACAACTAGTCAATGTTTTTAGACACACTTGATACATGGATGTCTTCGTAATAAATGGTTGCGTAAATTTGTTGTACTTCTGCATGTTTTGACTTCATTATGACTATAATTGCATACGCCACTCGATCCCTTTTTACAAAGTGTATCACTTACATTCCATGTATCACTTTTAGTTGACATTTTAGGCCAAAAATAAACAAAAATACTTTAAGAAAAGTATAAACTGCTACGTACATTTCTCGATAATCGGTTTCAATCTAATAACTCACAAATTATCAAACTGAAATGAATGCTACACGAACACAATACTGGCTATTTCGTTACTATAAACCCTTATAAACTTCAACATATTATTTACAGTATCTAGGTATTTAAAAAGTACTTTGTGCTCACAGCTCACAGTATGTATTATATTTTTGATAATCATTAAAGTAATAAATTCACAGGTTCACATCTATAATATATTAATATATATATTGTAGTCTTTGTTCACAGCTTTTCGATATCTTTGGATACGTTCATAAATATTTTTTTATTGAAATATATATTGCGTTCATATTATTAACGTAGTACGACCGGTTGTTTACTCGTCGACAAACAGCAAAAAAATTAAAAAACTACGGTATCTTACCCCAGTTTGTTAACTTTATCGGTAGTTCTTGAATCAGACGAATTAGTCATATTCGAGAGGTTTTTGGATCGATTCATTGAATGGATGCAGTGATCCAAACCGATCTAAAAATCGATTATTTTACTCCAGATAATCGTTTTCAAATAATCGATTTTAGATTGACATGCCTCTGCCTTGGTAATCATAAATCGTAAACATAGTGAATTATTGGAATAAAATATAATTTCTTTGAGTAATCTAAGAAACTAGCATAGTAGTAGCATCCTCTTATTCTCTGAGTTTATGAGAAATTGAACCTGTTCTAAGTAATGAAAATTCTAAGAAATGAATCCTAAGAGCCCAGAAGCCAGATCGCGTGGCGACAATCCTTTTGAGGGTTTAAATATAACAAGTTTAAAAATTTTGGACACTCTTGAAGCCCGAAGTCCATGTTCACGCTGTGGCAAGTCTAGAATGTACTTTTGTTATACTTGTTTCATTCCAGTGTCACAACTTGCTGGTCGCATTCCTGTCTGTACTGTAAGAGTTTATTTTATGATCTGTATTTTAGTCGATTTGCATCGGTTTTTTTATTTAATAAATTTTATCAAAATTACAGTTACCAATAAAAGTTGACATTATTAAGCATAGAAGAGAAATAGATGGAAAAAGTACTGCGGCACATGCAGCAATTTTAGCTCCTGGAGATGTTCGAGTTTACACCTATCCAGAAATACCTGAGTATAATATAAATGATGATAGGACTGTATTACTCTACCCTGGTACTGATGCTGTATCAGTTCGACAACTGTTTTTGGGCAAAAAAAAATCAGAGGCATACACCCAACAAATAATTGCCCAGTTACCTGCAGGATATAATGTTGGCACTTTAATGACAAAGACATTAGCACTTGATTGTAATGATTTAAACAACATTTACCATGTTAATAAATGGCCCATTGAGCGTGTTATTTTAATAGATAGTACATGGAATCAAAGTCGTGGTATATATGCAGATAGAAGATTGCAAAAAATGCCTAAAATTGTTTTACAGCAGAGGGCATCACAATTTTGGCGTCATCAAAAAGGAAGTCCTAGATGGTACCTTTCAACAATAGAAGCATTGCATCAGTTATTATTGGAATTGCATATATGTGCATGGGGTAGAAGTGAAAATTATAAGGCTCCTCTTACTTTGCACTATCCAATACATACAGCAAACAATAATCATGTTTCATGTATTCCTTATGATGGTCAGTATGACAATTTATTGTATTTTTTTAAGTTTATGTATGAGAAACTGCATAAGCTTTATAGTCATGAACATATGTTAGCATATAAAAGACCTATGACGTGAATCTTATTTGTTTTACTTTCACCAATTAAATGGAGTTCCAAGTATGCTAGAAAAACCTTGTTAATAAACAGGATAAGTTATAGAAAGCATCACAAATATGAGGGGGGAGGGGGTGTCAAGCCAGATCTCACCATCATGGTTAGGGGTCTTGGTAAATGTCATGTAATTTTTTTCTGCAAGAAACTGTAAAACTTTAGTAGTTGTATTTAAGTATTTTTAACTTCAAAAAAGGAGGAGGTACTCAATTCAACCGTATTTTTTTTATGTGTGTTACCTCAGAATTTTTTTTCTGGGTTAACTGTTTTGATTCTTTTTTATTTGAAAGATTGTACTTCTTATGTGGTCCCATATAAATTTAATCAAGATCTGACTAGCAGTTTTTGAATTTTCCTTAATAATACATATTATTTAATTGGCTTCGACTATATTGATGAAGTTCTCATTTTATTTGTATTGAAGTTGGTTGTACGTTTTTAATTTTACCACTTGTCTCTTTGTTATTCCAAACTACATTTTTAGTAGTCTGAAATGAAAATAACTAGGCAAATTATGTTTATTTTTTTAAATAATTTCAAGACACTCAAAAACTCAAAACAGTTAAACGTTTTTACACTAAAAATACGCATTTCGAAATATCGCCAAAATCACCACACGTAATTAATGAATATCCCCTTAAGGTCCAGTCAGTAATATTATATTATGCACGACGCAAGCGACGAGATACTTGCTTAGTGTAACCAGCGCTGGTTGAGCAACTCAGGGGCGGTGGGCGGAGCCACGGGGGTCGCGACCGGCGAGGTTTGACAACTAGCGAGGGTGCATACAACAACACAGAAAAACAGCCGTAGTCTTAATTATTGCATTTATTTTTGTTAAACATGTATAACTTATATTCAAAATAAAAAAGAATGATGTTGTAACTATGCAATAACTCTCCCAATAAAGACATCGAATAAATAACGAGAGTTAGCATAGATTTTAAAATGTAAATTGTACTCTTATAGTTAATTTACCTTTGTTGCATATCACCTTTATTGTATATTACCTTTCTTACATATTAACATTCATATAAATTATCTTTCTTGTATAAAAAAAAAGATAATTGTAACATTAACAGGGCACGTTATCGTGACGCGGCTGCGGAGCAAATGAAGCTACGCGTAGGGCGCCACGACGTTTAATATTTATAGTGCTGAGGTGCGGGGCAGGGTTCTCAGCTTAAAAATTGTAAATTACAAGGTTTAAAACCTTTTAGAGTGTAAGATAATTATTGTGTACATAATAGTATAAGAAATAGATGTCAGAATATTACATATTCGATTATGTTTGTTAATAAATAAGAGTTTTAAAGAAATAAAGAAAGGCGCGGGGGTGAGGCAAGGGTCCGCTGGCCAGCAGCGGCCGAATCATATAAAAGACGGGCCGGCCGGTAGGATCGGCAGTGAGTGAGTGAGTGGTCAGTAGTGGTAGTCAGTGAGTAGTAGATTCCGATCAGGTACCTCGCCGCATTCGGTCGCCTGCGACCCAACCGTTGAGTGCTATTGTTCGGTCGAGCCTATGCGCTCCCAGTGCGATAATAATAAGAAGAAAGAAGACAAGGACAGGACATTTTTACCTGCGTGCGCGAGTGCTTCGGTGTCGTTGTGCTCCGTTACGGCCGCCAGGTGCATCGGGCCGCCGGCCCATTCGTCGCCTCACTCGGCCCCTACGTCGCCCAACGCCACTCCGGCAAAAAAAGTCGCGCCTTCCGCGCGCAAAATTACCGCGATTAAAACCGCGAAACCGACTCAGGCTGAACCTAGAAAGGAGAAGCCGCTGCCACCTATAATTTTACAGGACAAGTCGCGCTGGAGCAACCTATCCAAGTGGATAGACTCCAAGAAAATATTCTGCCCCAAAGTCCACAATGGACCACAAGGCATCCGCATCCACGTCGCAACGACGGACGATTTCCGCGCTTTAACTGCGCATTTAAAAGCTCAAAACTTGAGCTTCCATACCTACTCGCTCGCGGAGGACCGTAACCTCCGTGTTGTAGTTCGCGGTCTCCCTAAAGAGCTTGAAACCGAATCCATTCTAAGCGATCTTAAATCGCAAAACCTGTGCACAGGATGCACCACCCAACAGATAAGAAACGATACTTCGATCTCTGTCTAGTCATACTGGACTTGTCTCCAGAGGGCAAACAAATATATAACATCAATAGAATATGCAATCTCACGGGGATTGTAGTAGAGTCTCCGCGTAATAGGGGCATCGTTGGCCAGTGCCACCGATGCCAGTTATACGGCCACTCGGCTAAAAACTGTTTCGCCAGGCCTAGGTGCGTCAAGTGCTTAGGCGATCATGGCACTACTGAGTGCCCCCCGAACGCCCGAGACGGAGGGCCCTCCAAGCTGTGTTCTGTGCGGCGAAGAGGGACACCCAGCGAGCTATCGCGGGTGTTCCAAAGCGCCGCGTAGGAAGCAGAAGGAGGAGCTATCCGGCGCGGACGTGCGGGCAACCCCAGTAGGTCGCGCCCACGGCATTCTGCCCCATCGATCGCACCAATCTCGGTGCCGCAACCCGCGCCCGCTCAGGCTACAGCCAAGGCCGCCCCCGTTAAAGGGACTTCCGAGCAAGGCCCAAGCCTTCCGGTGCCTTCAGCACCTAAGCCCAACGCATGGGTTAAGCCTCCGGCGATAGTCAGCGCTGCCGCCTCACGGCCAGTGCCTCCTCGCCAGGCCCAAAAGCCCAAACCCGCCCCTCAGGCACTGTCAAATATCAACACTGACCTTTCGTTAGTGTTCAACTTCGCTAGCAGCTTTAATGTGGCCGAAGTCACAACTCTAGTCCGCAAACTTCGCGAAGCTAAATCGATTCAGGATAGGCTCAATGCTACCATTGAGCATCTTAGTCTTATCCAAGCGATAGGTTCGTTCCAGTGCGCCTAAGCGACTCTTTTCTTTTTAACTAAAATGGAAGTAAGACCTGTAGGTAGAACTAAGCCTAGGTCTCTGACTGTCGCGTACTTTAATGCAAACGGAGTCAGAGATCAAAAGGAAGAGATCATGTATTTTTTACGCGACCATGACATCGACATCATGCTAGTGCAAGAGACCTTCTTGAAACCTAGTTTGAGCGATCCCAAAATAGCCAATTATACCCTAGTAAGAAATGATAGGTTGACCGGACCTAAAGGTGGCACCTTGATATACTACAATAGGTCCTTGCAATGTGTACCGATAGATACTCCGCCGCTTACTAACTTAGAAGCGTCGGTCTGTAGGATAGCACTTACGGGCCATCCGCCATTAATAATTGCATCAGCATACTTATCTCCTTTAAAAAGTATATTAGATTCCGACATATCGGCTCTGTTAAACCTAGGCCCTAGCGTATTAATCGCAGGAGACCTAAATAGTAAACACGTTAGCTGGAATTCCAACGTTAACAACCCTAACGGTGTAATACTAAGAGACCTCACGGAGAGACTTAACTTCGATGTTATCGCTCCCGAGAGTCCAACTCGTTATCCTTTTTCAAATAACCAACATCCGGACGTCCTTGATATAGCATTACTAAAAGACATCCGACTTAGTATTAATTCGATAGAGACTATTATCGAGCTAGTCTCAGACCACAGGCCGGTCGTTTTACAACTGGGCCGGCCGGCAGGTGAGGTCCCTCAGACCAAAACTATTGTCGACTGGCGTAAACTTGAGGTCAAACTTAAGTCTACGAACTCCCAGCATTTGGACACTATACCTGACAAGATAGACTCGCTGGAGGAGGCCGATAGGGCGATTAGCGCCCTTTCGACTCACCTCACATCAGCGGTCGAAGATTGCTCCCGTAAGGTTCGTGTATCGAGCGATCAATACACGAAACTTCCGGCGGATGTTCGACGGCTGATTAGAGCGAAGAATTCCGCGCTTAAAACTTACGACCGCTATCGCACGGAAACCAATAAACTTCGGGGACGTTCTCTACAAAACGAGATTAAACAACGAGTAGCCGAGTTTAGAAACGATAACTGGGATTACCTCTTAGAAGGTATCGAACCATCCCAAGACTCCTTCTGGAGACTAACAAGAGCTCTTAAAGCCGACAAATCCGCACCGATGCCGCCTCTCGTGAGGCTGGACCACCCCGATCTCGCCCTTGATGATCTCGAAAAAGCCGAATGCCTAGCAGACAGTCTAGAGTACCAGTGCACGCCATCCACCGCACCAATAGATCCCGCTCACCTATAGAGGTAGAAAGGAAGTAGAAGTATCGGCTCTCGATCCTGTGACAGTAGATGAAGTCACCGAAACCATTAAAAGTCTTAAAAATAGATCAGCCCCTGGGCCAGACGGCATCAGCAACAAGGTTATCAAATCCCTTTCGGCGCCACTTATTTGCCTCCTTGTAGGAATATTTAACACCTTTCTCACGAACTGCTCCTTCCCGGACATCTGGAAAGAAGCAGACGTAATAGGGATCCCAAAACCGGGTAAACCGCGTAATCGTCCCTCTAGCTACAGACCCATTAGCCTGCTCAATACATTGGCCAAACTATATGAGCGCATTATTCATAAGCGTCTCCGTCATTTCACCGAAACTAACGGACTCCTACCAGACGAACAGTTCGGCTTTAGAGCCAATCACTCATGCACTCACCAGATTCATCGCCTAACAGAATACATTCTGTCTGGCTTCAGTCAAAACCCGTTTGGAAAAAAGTCTCGAAACACGGGAGCCCTCTTCTTACGAAGAACATATTAAAAATAAAGAAATAGCGCGTAAAAAGAAGTCGGCTGATAAAGAATTACCCAAATCTTCCAATAATAAATTATTAGTAGCTACTTTTGAATTTCAAAAAGTTCTTTCTTGTCCTTATGGTAATATAAGCGTTCTTTACTATAAAGGAAAGATTTCAGTATTCAATTTCACTGTTTTTAATTTAAACGAAAAAGAAGGATATAGATAATAAGTAATAAGATTTTGTATTTCGTAAATAAAAATTGTAACAAAAT